CCACAACAAGAGGACATAGTCTTAAATTAGAGGGACAAAGGTTTAAAAATAATATCAGGAAGTATTACTTTACTGAGAGGTTAGTGGATGCATGGAATAGCCCGTGGAACTGGTTTTGGGCAGAAAAAGACTACGATCTATCTTTTGAACCACTGGACCAATTTGTATGATTTTGACGTATGTTTGTATTTGGAGTGAATGTGATGCATACTTTTGAAATTATGAATAATGTGGAAAAACTGTATTTATCTGCCTGTGATAATTACATTACCCATTGTGTAAGGCAGGGGTCAAGTCCTGGGGAAAAAAGTGTGGGAACTCTCCCCAAAAAAAACCAAAACACTTGTATGTATGTTTATATATATATGTATGTATGTTTATATGTAATATATATATATATATATATATATATATATATATATATATATACACATACATATATATATACATACACACACACACACACACACACACAGTGGTGTATTTTAATTTTATGCTGCCCTAGACATGACTATAGAGCACCCCCCTAATCTAAATTTACCACTCCTTCATGTCAAGGGTGCACCACTTCCTGATTAAGAACCCACCCCTTCCTCTTTAGACTCCACCTTTCCCTGCTCCTTTTAAAGAAATACTATAGTGCCAGGAAAACAAAGTTGTTTTCCTGGCACTATAATTCCATATAGTGCCCCCCTCCTCTCATGTCCTCCCCTCCCCCACTCGACACTGAAGGGGTTAAAATCCTATGGGTATTTAGCAGATGATGGATGTCCTCATGCACAGGGTGAGGACGTCCAGCATCAGTTAGGTGACTTTTGGTCACCTAACCACCCGAAAGTCCCTCTAGTGGCTGTCTGATAGACAGCCACTAGACTTGGAGTTACCCCTCAGGTAATTATTGCAGTTTCTGAGACGGTTTAAGGGGACTGGGACACTGCACCCAGACCACTTCAAGGAGCTATAGTAGTCTGGGTGCCTATAGTGTCCCTTTAAGCACACTCTCTGACAGACACCCACACTGGCAGATACACACTGTAAGTAACACACACATTCAATGACAAACACACAGACATCACTGATTTGACACACACATTCACTGACACACACTCATTCATTGACAGAGAGACACACACTAATAGTCACACACACACTAAATGACAGACTCACTTATTTGACAGAAACTTACAATAACGTATGCACATACATGCAATTGCAAACATACACATGCATACACTAACAAAAGCACATACACTCACATACACACGTACAAACGCTAACAGACATAAATACACTCCTACACACATTGAGACAAACAGACATCCACACATCCACACATCCACACACACACATCCACACACACACATCCACACACACATCCACAAACACACATCCACAAACACACATCCACAGACATCCACACATCCACAAACAGACATCCACACATCCACCCACACATCCACAAACAGACATCCACACATACACAAACAGACATCCACAGACATCCACACATACACAGACATCCACACATACACAAACAGACATCCACAGACATCCACACATACACAAACAGACATCCACACATACACAAACAGACATCCACAAACAGACATCCACAGACAGACATCCACAGACATCCACACATACACAAACAGACATCCACACATCCACAAAACAGACATCCACACATCCACACACGAACTTCCACACATCCACAAACAGACATCCACACAAATCCACAAACAGACATCCCATAAATCCACAAAAACATCCACACATCCCACAAAACGGGCATCCCACACATCCACAAACGAACATCCACACATCCCACAAACGAACATCCCACAGACATCCCATGCACAACCGGAACCATACACAAAACAACGAACTCCACAGACATCCACACATACACAAACAGACATCCCACACATCCACAAATCCACACATCCACATCCACACATCCACAAACAGACATCCACACACATCCACAGACATCCACAAACAGACATCCACACATCCACACATCCACAAGCAGACATCCACAGATATCCACACATCCACAGACATCCCCACAAACAGACATCCCCACAAACAGACATCCACAAACAGACATCCCCACAAACAGACATCCACACAAACAGACATCCACACAAACAGACATCCCCACAAACAGACATCCACAAACAGACATCCACAAACAGACATCCACACATCCACACATCCACAAACAGACATCCACTAACAGACATCCACACATCCACACACAGACATCCACACATCCACACACAGACATCCACACATCCACAAACAGACATCCACAAATCCACAAACAGACATCCACAAATCCACAAAACATACATCCACACATCCACAAACAGACATCCACACATCCACAAACAGACATCCACACATCCACAAACAGACATCCACAAACAGACATCCACAAACAGACATCCACACATCCACAAACAGACATACATATATACAAATTAATAATAATATTAAAAAATTAACACATCCCACCCACCCAGCATCCCTACCTTTCCCTGGGGTCCAGTGGGGCTGCAGTGGGGCTGCCGGGTTGATGACGTCATATTCCGGCTCCCGGCATCAGCAGACATCCCGCGCGGCGAGAGGGAGCAGAGAGCACACAGCTCCTTCTCCGCGTGTGACAGGAAGAGAGCCGTTCACCGGGGGGCAATCCATCAGGTTGCCCCCCCCCCATGACAGGGGAAACAAGGGGGGGCATTTGGGGGCGGCATTTTTTGCCGCCCCCTGAGTGCCTGCAGGGGGAACGGCGTTCCTGCTGTGAAAAAAGTGCAGGAACGCCGTTCCCACGCGTTCCTGCAGGACTCGAGCCCTGCTCTAGTGGCTGTCTCATTGATAGCCACTAGAGGCGCTTGCGTGCTTCTCACTGTGCACCCTCAGGGCACTATAGTGCCAGGAAAACGAGTATGTTTTCCTGGCACTATAGTGGTCCTTTAAGGAGTTTATGGTATAAGATCAGTCTAATAAACCAGAATAAGAGGCCCCCTAATTAAAGTATCTTATCCTGTGTGCTGCAGAAGTCTCTCTAAGCGGTGCATAGAAGGACAGTTTAAAGTAAAGTTCTTTCATTTTTAATGCATTATCTGTATAACCCTTTGAAAAATACAGGTACTTTTTTTTTTTTTTTACATAGACTAAGCCTTTAAAATAGTCTAGTATGATTTTGTACCAAAACTATGCCAGATTTCCAGACTCTGTGCTGCGAGGATTAGGATAACTGCAAAGCAACAGTTTCAAAAAATGAAATGAACAGATGTAACAGTGTAATAAATATGGTATTAATGCAATGTTTTTAAATCCAGGTAGAATCATCGGAAAAGGTTGGCGGCAATGGGATAACAAACCAAAATACAGCTGGTTATCTTGATTGTGTGAAAACTGGCACTGGACCAACACGGGACAGAAAAGTATTCAGAATTATAATACATCTAGGTATGTAATCAGCCATGATTCAAAACAATAGCAATTCAAATTTAACAAGCAGGGATATGAATCTATCCCTACACAGAGCAGTATTTTGGGAATTAATTGGTTTTGTGCTCTTGCAGATCCTTATGTCATTGTGTCCTTAAAACTGGTATGTTATGTATGCTCAGAGATGCGGTACCACATCAATGATATCCATGACAATAAAAAAAAAAAAAAAAGTTAAAATGAGATGTGTTTGCTAATAAATGAAATAAAATGAAAAAATTAATCAGTAATATTACCTGAAAGGCGAAGGAATCCGGACGTTCGCCGGACAACAGAATACTAATGACAATGATGTGGGATGTTCCGCACACAATACTGACAATCAGGCATGCTCGCATTCCCAAGGGAAGTGTGGTGTACACAGAGAATGTAATGAACAGGAAGAAGGGCACCTTTAAAAAAAATAAATTAAAAAAATAAAGTGATAGCATTTTACAACACAGTTATGGAAAGATGGAGTTGAGCTGCTTGATAAAGTTAACTTTGAATGCACATCATCATTTGCAAAGAAACATTAACACTATACATTACAATGTCACGTTTATATTATGCAATCCTGCTACAATTACAAACAAACAATAAACTGTAAAAAAGAAAAAGTTATCATCGCTATCTCGGCACACCTCAGACCGTACATTATACACTTTGCATTTTAGGCCAAGCCCACAAGTTTAAGGCCAATTTACTCTGCCTGTATTTGTAGACAGGGCCAAGGCTTTACAACCGGAATGTGGTACCCTTACCTTCATTGAACTCCAGATTTGTGATCCCCACCCAATTTGCACACTTTAATAGTCCTATTAATTATCTACCCTTAAACAAGTTGTCCTGACATACCTCAGACTGTACACTATACCAAGCCCACAAACATAGAATACATACAACATATATATTTGACAATGAGTATAACAAACTGCCATTTGCAAAGAAACATTAACACTACACATTACAATGTCACGTTTATATTATGCAATCCTGCTACAATTACAGACATATTAAACCAGATCAGTGAAATTTTATTAAAATAGTGTAAGAATCATTAATTAAAACGCATAAAATGTTAATAGGCATAAAATAATGTATTGCCAGCTCCTGCTCAAGAGCTTCAGTTCGTTCTCCTGAGCCATGTCCTGCAGTGCATACCTGACGCATTGTCGGACTGCTCTCTGCAAATAAGCTAATGAGGCAGCCTATTTAAGCAGCTAATCCCAGTACCTCATTGCCCTTGCGTGGTTCCCTGTTCCCCAGAAGTCTCCTCGTTCCTGTTTGTTCCTGGTTCCTGACTCTAGCCTTGTTCCTGACTTCGCTGCTCTCCGTTCTCCTGATCCTGGCTCGTCTGACTACCCGCTTTGGTGCCTGACCCCGGTTTGCCTCCTGGACTTTGCTTTTGGTTTACTTTATTTTCTATTTATTAATAAAGGTATTTTTGCACCTAGTTCTGTCTCTGTCTGGTTCCTGGTCCCTAACATTGCACAAGGGCCATGAATGCAGATGGTACAGGCTATACACCAATACCTAACCTAGTTACTCGGTGGGACCAGCAGAACCACCTTTTGGACCAGTGTGCACAGGCTCTGCAGACCATCCTGATTTGTAATGCACATCTGGATCCAGCACCCGGCCAGCCTGCTATTTCGGCAGCCTCTGCCTCACTTCCTGTTCGAACACCGGTTGTAGCCTCCAAACCTGCTGCGGCTAGAGGAATGACTGGGTCTGTCCCGCTCCCTCAGTATTTTGGGGGCCACCCAGCTCAGTGCAAAGAATTTGTAAACCAGGTTAGAGGATACCTTGAAATGCTTCCCCAGGCATTTCCTACAGACAGTAGCAATTTCCAGTTCACGATTTCTGTGCTGTCTGAAAAAGCCCTAGCTTGGTCAAAACCTCTCTGTGAGGCAGAGAGGCCCATTATTTACAATTACCCTGAATTTGTTGTGTCCTTTAAAAGGGTTTTTGATATTACAGCTCACTCCACCTCTGCTGTCAAACAACTCTAATGCTCAGGGCACGAGAACAATTGTAGAGTATGCCAGTGAATTCCGTACCATGGCAGCAGAGGGTGGCTGGAACAACGAGACTCTCGTGGCTGCCTTTTCACATGGGCTTTCGGATGTTATTAAGGATGAGATTGCAGCCAGAGAATTACCTAAAGATCGAGGAACTGATATCCTTTGTCATCCTCACTGATAGACTCCGAGAAAGATCCTCATTTAGGAAGCACCTGTATATTTGGCACCAAGCTTCGTGTTACTATTAAGAATGTCTACCCCATTCCGTTGATCACGGAATTATTCGACCACGAATTGAAAACCGCATTTAACACCAGGAGCGGGCATTATGAATACCTAGTAATGCCCTTTGGTCTTTGCAATGCTCCAGCGGTTTTCCAGGAATTTATAAATGATGTGTTGCGAGATATGCTGCAGCAATGTGTGGTGGTTTATCTTGACGATATTCTTATCCATTACACATCTCTTGACAACATGACGCAGACGTTTGTCGTCTTCTACAGACACTCAGAGAAAATAGTCTGTTCTGTAAATTGGAGAAATGTGAGTTCAACTGCAAACAGGTGACATTCTTGGGCTATGTTATTTCTGATGCTGGATTCTCTATGGACCCAGAGAAACTTTCTGCTGTACTACAATGGCCTCGACCTATGGGTCTTCGCTCTATACAGCGCTTTCTTGGCTTCGCCAGTTATTATTGGAAGTTCATACGCAACTTTTCTTCATTGGTTAAACCTCTTAAGGATATGACCAGAAGAGATGCTGATCCACAACATTGGTCACAGGAAGCCATTACTGCCTTTGAGTCTCTCAAAGTCGCGTTTGCTGCAGCTCCAATACTGGCACACCCTAACCCTGCCTTACCATTCATTCCAGTGGCGGATCCGGGGGGGTGGGGGCAACGGGGCAATTACCCCCCCCCCCGGGATTCTCCCCTGCCGGGTAGTGCAGGGCTGGCATTGTCCAAGTGCCAGCCCTGCAATGTGCCTTCGCGGACCGGGGGGGGGGAGATCAGAGATCTCCCCCCCCCGGTCCACAGGGGGGGGAGTGAGAGAGGACCCTGGAGCTCTTACCTGCAGCTCCTCCGGGTCCTCCTCTCGTGAGCACGGAGAGTTGCTGCGGTTACCACAGCAACATTTCATATCTCGCGAGAGTGAACTCTAGCCCTGGAGCTACAGGCTAGAGTTCACCTCACCACCTATGGGACCACCAGGGAATCCCCACCGGACCACCAAGGATGGAGAAATGTCCCCCCTCCTCCAAGTAAAGGTAAGAAGGGAGGGGGGGCATCAATATATTTAATTAATTTTTTTGAAATTATTAAAAAGCCTCCCTACCCTCCTTCCCCCCATACACACACTGCCCCCCATACACACACTGCCCCCCATACACACACTACAAAACACTGCCCCCCATACACACACACACTAAGCAAATACTGCCCCCCATACACACACTACAGACATTTCCCCCCAAACACTGCCCCCATACACACACACACACACTGCCCCACAAACACTGTCCCCATACACACACTGCCCCACACATACACTGCCCCCTAACACACACGCTGCCACCCTCACGCACACTTCACCGCTCACACACACATTTCACCCCTAACACATACCACTGCTCCTATGCCCTATATCGCAGCAAATCCCAGGTAAGTTGTCAAACTGTTCTCAACGTTTTGACTACTTACTCTGGGATGGGATCCTGGCACTACGGGCGCCATAACTACTACACTGAGCTGTAGTGGTTATTGTGCCTGGATTATTTCTTTAAATAATTTACAAGTGCCCCTCCCGAGATCAGGCTCTGGATCCGCCACTGATTAATTCTTGAAGTCGATGCGTCCTCCTGTTTCAACGTCCTAAACCAGAGAGCTCCATGCATCCGTGCGGGTATTTCTCAAAGAAATTGAACCCAGCGGAATGTAATAACCAGATTGGTGATAGAGAACTTCTAGCTATAATTTTAGCTCTCAAAGAAAAGAGGCACCTTCTTGAAGGCACTTCAGTGCCAATTCTCATCCTCACAGACCACAAGAATCTTACATATCTTTCCAAAGCTAAGCGGCTTTCCCCCCGGCAAGCAAGATGGGCTCTCTTCCTATCAAGATTCAATTATGTGGTTTCATATTTGCCCAGTACTAAAAACATTCAGGCAGATGCATTGTCTCGACAGTTCTCTCCTCCATCTAGAGAGGAGATAACCCCTACTCCTGTGATTCCTCCGGACCGTATACTGGCCACCATCCGTACTAACATCACCTTACCCCTAGGCGAGAAGATTCTGGCTGCACAAATTAATGCTCCCCCAGAGAAACCTAATGGCCATTGTTTTGTACCTATTCATCTCCGTACTAAATTAAGTACATATCACAATCCCAAAAGAGCTGGACTTCTAGGCAAAAACCAGTTAATCTGGTCCGTCTCTCAGCAATTTTGGTGGCCTAGTCTCCATTCGGATGTCACCGCTTTTGTAGCTGCCTGTCCTGTATGCGCTCAAAATAAAACCCCACAACACCCTCCAGTGGGTCTCCTGCAAACCATACCTAATGGTGAACAACCCTGGACCCACTTGTCCATGGATTTTATCGTAGATCTTCCAGTCTCACATGGCAATACAGTCGTTCTTATGGTTGTTGACCGATTGTCTAAGATGTCGCATTGCATTCCCTTGAAAAAACTACCAACTTCTCAGGAACTTGCAACACTTTTTGCTTGGGAGGTCTTTTGTTTGCATGGGTTACCCAAAGTAATAATCTCAGATACGGGTAGCCAGTTCGTGTCCAGATTTTGGAGAGCTTTTTGTACACAAATGAGAATTCAGCTTTCCTTCTCCTCGGCCTACCACCCGCAATCCAATGGTGCCGCGGAACAAGCTAACCAAGCCCTGGAACAATTTCTGCGTTGCTACATTTCTGACAACCAGAACAACTGTTCTCAACTGCTACCCTGGGCAGAGTTTGCCCACAATAGTGCAATTAATGCCTCTTCCCGGCTATCCCCTTTTTTTGCGAACTATGGGTTTCAACCGTCCATGTTGCCTGATACGTTCATGCCACAGGGGATGGAAGAACATCTCAGGGAACTCCGTTCCACTTGGGTGCAGGTTCAGAATTCTTTGCAATGCGCAATGCAGAACTACAAACTCCAGGCCGACCGCAGGCGCCTTCCTGCGCCTACCTATCAGGTCGGAGAGAGGTTCTGGCTGTTTTCCCGCAACCTACGGCTCTGTGTTCCTTCACAAAAACTGGCACCCCGCTACGTTGGGCCATTTCGTATACTTCGAAGGGTTAACCCTGTAGCTTATGCATTTGACCTTCCTTCTAACATGCGCATCTCAAATGTATTCCATGTTTCCCTCTTGAAACCATTGGTATGTAATTGTTACACCACCTCAGTGCCACGTCCACATCCTGTTCTGTTTGATAATGATGAATATGAAATACGCAGCATCATTGACTCGCGAGTGTTCATAGGACAGATCTAATACTTGGTGCACTGGAAAGGGTACGGTCCAGAGGAATGCTCCTCGGTTCCAGCCTCTGATGTCCATGCACCATCCTTCCTTCGTTCCTATCACGCCCGCTTCCCCATGAAGCTTGGACCCACCAGCAGATATGGGGGGAGTCGTTGAGGGGGAGGTACGGTCAAGGTTTCTTTGCTGTTTTAAACAGCAACCCTTCCTTTTTCTGTATCTGAGTTTCAGCTGATACTAACGATCAGCTCCTTCAGTATGTTGCCACGGTTACTCACCTGATAGTAGTAAACAGCCCTGCTGCTAATCAGGCAGCCTATTTGAGCAGCTAATCCCAGTACCTCCTTGTCCTTGTGTGGTTTCCGGTTCCCCAGAAGTCTCCTTGTTCCTGTTTGTTCCTGGTTCCTGACTTCGCTGCTCTCGGTTCTCCCGATCCTGGCTCGTCTGACTACCCGCTTTGGTGCCTGACCCCTGCTTGCCTCCTGGACTTTGCTTTTGGTTTACTTTATTTTCTATTTATTAATAAAGGTGTTTTTGCATCTAGTTCTGTCTGGTTCCTGGTCCCTAACACATATATGCAGAATTAAAACAATCACACATAATTATCAAATAATGGTTAATACACACCATTCCAACCAAAATCGACTTTTATTTGAAACACACATAGTTGATTGCAGTTAGAAATGCCCTTTAAGAAAAATAATCTGCAAATCTATAAAGAAAGTATTGCTCATAGGAAACGGTCTGGGCCAGCAAGAAAATATTTAAGCACAATCAAAATGTGGATGTTGCTATCTTGCTTTCATGCAAGCTGAAACCCAGCAGCTGTGTGTAATATTTAGCCATTCTGGAAAAACCCTGGAGAGAGTTCATACAGAGTGACACAGAACACTGCCGTTCTACCCCTTACCATCCAGGCTAATTACCAGTCGATCCATGGGAATGGGGGCTGTGCCAGTCACTTGTTATTCTGATACCTATTAAATGTCTTACTGAGCCTGCAGGGAGTGACAGACTTTTGGCAAGTAACAAAGGCTTTATGCAGTCTCAAACTAAACAATAGTCTGCTCCCACTACCAAAAAAACATTTGAAAAAGGATTTAACAGTGATGACTTGCTTGGCACGGTAGATGTTTGTGAACTACGTGTGCGGAGACTCAGCCAGTCTGAAGAAATGGGTTTTCAAATATTTTTAGGGGACACTGTAGGCATCCAGACCACTTCAGTCCATTGAAGTGGTCTGAGTTTCAACTCCCATTACCCTTAACCCTGAAAGTGTAATTATTGCAGTTTTAAAAAAAAAAAGTAGACAACCCAGGGTATTAAATATGGGGTATGTCCAGTCTTTTTTAGTAGCCACCTAGTCACAAACACTGGCCAAAGTTAGCATTTATATTTGTTTGTGTGTTTAAAATGCAAAAAATGCTAACTTTGGCCAGTGTTTGTGACTAAGTGGCTACTAAAAAAGGCTAAACATACCCCATTTGCAATACTTTGGGTTGTCTTCTTTTGCAAATGGTATGCCATCATGGGGTAATTCTCATTCCTGGGCTACCATACGCTCTCAAAGGCAACCTAACCAATCTGACAAATTTCAATAATTTTTTTTTTTTAGTAAAATCAAGCCTTATATTTGACCCTGTAACTTTCAAAAACACTATAAAACCTCTACATGTGGGGTACTGTTATACTCAGGAGACTTCGCTGAACACAAATATTAGTGTATCAGAACAGTAAAATGTATCACAGCAATAATATCAGTGAAAGTGCCGTTTGTGTGTGAAAAATGCAAAAAAGGTCACTTTCACTGACATCATCGCTGAAACACTGAAACACTAATATTTGTGTTCAGCGAAGTCTCCCGAGTAAAACAGTACCCCCATGTACAGGTTTTAGGGTGTCATAGAAAGTTACAGGGTTAAACACAGTGCTAGCAAATTAAATTCTCTTGACTTTCGGCCTGGGTTGTCAGGCATGTCCCCATGGGCGTAGGAACCGGGGGAATGGGGGAGACGCATCCCCCACAGCAGATCATGCGGGGGGACAGGTTATAGAGAAATCCCTCCCAGCTCCGCCGGCCGCGGGTGCCCTCAGGATGGGGAGAGGGGTAGGTAGAAAAATAATTGGAAGGGTTTAGGGGGGCTACTAATATGGATGGGGAGAGGGGTAGGTAGAAAAATAATTGGAAGGGTTTAGGGGGGCTACTAATATGGATGGGAGGAGGGGGAGGTAGAACAATAATTGGAAGGGGTTAGGGGAGTACTAATATGAATGGAAGGGGTAGGGTGGGTTCTAATATGCATGTAAGGGGTAGGGAGGTTTAATATGCATGGAAGAGGTAGGTGGGGTTCTAATATTCATGGAAGGGGTAGAGACGGGTAGTAAAATGTATGGAATGCACTTCTGAAAGTGTCACTGAATGGCAGTTAGGAAATGTGGTCACCCTAAGTCAGGGGCAGTATTACACAATCTGTATATGTATAAAAAAATATAAAAAGTAATCTGCAAAGTACAAAATGTTTGTGTCATAGGCCGTGCTAAAAATGAACCTAGGAATGTGCATATTTTTAAATTTTTTTAAAATAATGTTTTGAATAATGATACAGACATTTTATTTCTTACATTTGTGATGATTCTTTTTTCCCCTCTATAGTCAAGGGACACTATAGTCACCAGAACCACAGCAGCTAAACGTAGTAGTTCTGGTGTCTATAGCATGGCTTTTCAGGCTTTTTAATGTAAGCACTGCCATTTCGTAAAAAGGCAGTATTTACGTTACTGCTGAGGCAGTGGCGTACACATGACCCATGGGGCCCCGGTGCGAAAAAAACTGATCCGTGGGCCCCTCTTACCCCCTTTGGAGTGCTGAGGGGATTCCCTGGGGTCCGGTGGTGCTGCTGGGCTCCTGGGCGGCCGGTCACCAAGCGGGCAGGCTGGCGGGTGCAGGAGGGAGCACTGTCCCCTGTGTGCTCACTCTTCAGCTCCGTCGCGCGCTGCGTACTGATGACGGAGCCGGAAGATGACGGCCGCCTGCCCGTCCGGTGATACTAGAGCCAGCCTCGGAGGGGGCCTGAGGTGGTCAACTCCTGGGCCCCCCAGGAGAAGAGGCTGGCCACAGTGGGTACATACCGGGTCGCAGGGTGGCCGGGCCCCCTGGTTGGCCGCGCCCGGTATGTACGCCACTGTGCTGAGGAATACCTCTAGTGGACACTCAGAGGGCCACTAGAGGTGCTTCCTAGTCGAGACATGAATGCTGCCCTATGAAGTATCTGTGCATATGTGGCAAAGCTGCGCATGCGCACCAGGGAGCAATGACGCTTCTGAATTCATCATTTTGCCGAAATAGGGGGCGCGGCATCAGGTGGTTCCCGGCGCTGTATTCGGGTAAGTAAAATCCCTTCCCTGTACTGACCCTTTAATGTTATTATTTTATCATCTATATAGCGCCAGCAAATTCCGTAGCGCTGTACAATGGGATAAACAACTCCTAGTTTACGGAATAAGAATATACCCGGCGAGTAAAAATGCTATCCCCCCAGATTTTTGGGGCTTCCTACGCCCATGCATGTCCCTCAAATTGCAACCATTAAAATTACTTAATTAGGTAAAAATATTACATAAATATGCACGTAGAATTTTAATATATATACATATTTATATATTTGAAGTCTATGTGTATATTTATGAAATTATTTATGTAATATGTATATGGACATATGTATATTTTGTATTATTTTTATTTATACATACATATATATATATATATATATATCATTACATTCTAAGTGTATTTAGATATAAATATATATAAATATCAAAATACTGTTAGAATAAAATTACATATCATTTTTTTATATTAAAAATTATTTTTACTTTTTATTTATTTGTATTAACATTATTTATAATAATATATATACACACAATATATATAGTTATTATATATATTGTATATATACATGTGAAGTTTAATTATAAGTGTATTTTTATATTAATATACGTATATAAATATAAAAATACACTTAGATTGAGATTATCTATATTAGATATATATACATATATACATATTAAAAAAGGATGAAATACTAATAAAAGAATGGTTTAAAGCAAGTGATAATTGTTCAAAGAAATATATTCAAAGCCTTATTGATTTTCAAAAAAGATCATGGAAAAATATAGAAGAGGAAATTCATACTCTAGAAAAAGAAATAAGTTCACATAAAGATATTAGAGTTGTGGATGATAACTATAAGGTTCTTAAAGATAAGATCAAGATAGTGGATGATAGAATATCTAGCACTGAAGCAAGCAAGTTTAGGAGAGATCAGATAGAATATAAAGAAGGCAAGGTTAGAAATTGGTCAAAGAACAAAATAAAAAAAGACCTTAATTTTTTCTTGAAAAGTTACGTTTAATTCTAGTTTAAAGCCAAATAGGCATCAAAGTCCAGATATAAAATTGAATAAACACAAAGAAAGTATAAATAGGCCTTCTCAGGCTAATGATATGGGAACATCTAATGAATTTTATAGTGCATCAAGAAGTCTATCTCCCATTTTTTTAGACAGGGGGCAAAACCAAAAGAAAGAAAGCACTCTGCACATAAAAAACTGATAACAAATGTTAAGTTCACCCGGGAAGAAAAAAAAGATTACACACAGAGCTGGAGGAATTGGACGATCCATTATCCCCAATCCCCACACATATACAATAATAAAAGAGCCATCTGGTATTTCTAATATCTCAGGGGTAACCTTAACCCCATCAGAATTAGTTCTTTTAGAAAAAGGGTTAAAATTTGCTCCCACTGCTGGTATGAAACCTTTTGACTTGTTTATTGATAACCAAATATTTTTAAAGAAGTTAACTGTGAAACGTTTCTTTGCAAAACGTAATTCACAGGAGACAAGTAATACAACTTTACTCAATAAAAAGGAGACTATAGATATTTCTGAACGATCTCAAGAGGTTTTGCCCAATGTATTTTCATCTTTGAAAAGAAAATCTAATTTTTATCCATCTTACGAAAAAGGTAAATATTTAGAAGTAAAAAAAAAAAAAATAATAAAAAAAAAAAAAATTAAAAAAAAATTCGAAAAAAAAAACATTGGGCAATTCTGAAAAAAGATGAGATTTTGGGAGAAAAGTTACCTGAAAAAACGGTGGTCATATACAGAAAAGCAGACAACTTAAAGAATCAATTGGCACCAAGTCTTTTACCTAAACAACTTAAGAGTCCACAAAATAATTTTTTACAGCTAAAAAGAACCCCGGGTTTTCATAAATGTGGGGCTTGTTCTACTTGTACCAACCAAAAAAGAAAAACGGTGTCTTTTATGGGGTCTAATACAAAAGAAACATACAATATTAAGAAGTTTATACACTGTACGTCAACATTTGTAATTTATCTGTTACAATGTGGATGTGGTGCCCAGTATGTGGGACGAACCACTAGAAAACTGCATATCAGACTCAGAGAACATTTCAACAATATTAGGACAAATAAAGTGGATCATAGTGTTCCTAATCATTGTAAGACCTGTAGTATGTTTAATTGGTCCACTTTTATCGCCATTGGTATTGATCAGGTTGCTATGAATTGGAGAGGGGGAAGTAGAATTAATGATTTAGCTAAAAGAGAAGCCTTTTGGATTTATACTCTTAAGACCCTAAGGACAGGTCTTAACCAGGAAACTGATTTAATAGGACTTCTTTGATTTTTTTTGTTTAGTTGCTATTGTTTTTGTTTTTCTCCCCTCTCATCTCTTAGTAACTTGATCATGTATACATATATATATATATTTTTTCTGTATATGTATTACACAAGGTTATTTTTTATTATTTTTGCATATTTTTTATTTTTTTATATGGTGTTTGTATTTACTTTTTATATATACATTTTTTATTCTAGCTTAGTTTTTTTATGTATGAGAAGGGTTCTTCCCTTCGTTTTTTTCTTCTTCTGGTTGTTGTGTTTTTTCTTATAGTTGTAATGGGTTCCACGCTGGAACGCGGAACGGATTCATTCAGAGCCTTTGACGATATGCGTTCCACGGTGGACCGCGGAAACATTTAATGCCCGCAAACAAGACCATGATCGTCATCACGTTCGTCCAATCGGAAGGAAGTTTAGACGAAATGCGGAAGTACTGATTTATTGGCGCCAACTTTTCGAAAAACTATCTGGAACATATAAAAAGAAGCTCTTTCGAAGTTTTGCTGTATATTCCTGAGGAAGTCGCAAAGACGAAACGCTTTGGATTTGTATCTGGGACATTTTTATCCTAGGTTTCATTATTTGTATTTTTATTATTGTTTTATCTACATTTTTGCTGCTATACTTTTTTATTGCTTGAGTTGAACCTTCTATGGTTTGGTACCATCTGTTGGATGGAGATATGCTGATCTAAAACCAGTTTTATGTAAGTGCAATCAATATCAATAAATAGATTGCTGTTTACAATACTACTATATATATATATATACTCTTTCTTTGAGGAGGGGAGTTCCATTATATATATTTTGATCAACATCAAAATCCTCTATGACAAGAATTACAGTGCTGCCCTGAGATACCCTATAATAAAGAGGGAGATAAGCGCAGATTATCTATATTGTCTGTAAATTCTCTACCTCCGGGATTGACCTTGGTGTTCTGTACATACTTCACTATTGTACAATTCTTTCCAAATTTTTAGATTTCTCAAGAACTGCTTTCTATTATATACAGGTTGTATGTTTTGTATTTTTGGTGTGCTACCCCTTTAATTTATACTATCACTATTTATTGGTGTGGTATATTTTTTCCTATTTGTATTATATATATATATATATATATATATATATATATATATATATATATATATATTTTTTTATATATATTTGGGAGTCTAGCCAACTCCTTGGTTTTGCACCCCTCCCTGTCACAGGTGCCTCATCCCAGGGCCCTATTTAGCCTTGTACTGCAGAGAGCCCCAGATGGAATTTCTTTCCCCAAGTAGGTTAATCTCATAAGAGCAGACATTAGGCTGTTAGTGTAGGACCTGCCAAAGATGGGGTACATTGACGTTGTGGCAGGCTTATGCAATGTATGATCATATAATGTAACTAAACCCCCATTATTTTTGCCTAGATTAGGTGTTTTTAAAAAAACAAATAAAATCTTTCAACATTGAAGTTGCTGTTTAGTGGATAGGTGAGTGCGCTGGATCTTGTGTATTGTAGTGTAATATATATATATATATATATACACACACATACACACACACTCTACAGGGAGTGCAGAATTATTAGGCAAGTTGTATTTTTGAGGATTCATTTTATTATTGAACAACAACCATGTTCTCAATGAACCCAAAAAACTCATTAATATCAAAGCTGAATATTTTTGGAAGTAGTTTTTAGTTTGTTTTTAGTTATAGCTATGTTAGGGGGATATCTGTGTGTGCAGGTGACTATTACTGTGCATAATTATTAGGCAACTTAACAAAAAACAAATATATACCCATTTCAATTATTTATTATTACCAGTGAAACCAATATAACATCTCAACATTCACAAATATACATTTATGACATTCAAAAACAAAACAAAAACAAATCAGTGACTAATATAGCCACCTTTCTTTGCAAGGACACCCAAAAGCCTGCCATCCATGGATTCTGTCAGTGTTTTGATCTGTTCACCATCAACATTGCGTGCAGCAGCAACCACAGCCTCCCAGACACTGTTCAGAGAGGTGTACTGTTTTCCCTCCTTGTAAATCTCACATTTGATGATGGACCACAGGTTCTCAATGGGGTTCAGATCAGGTGAACAAGGAGGCCATGTCATTAGATTTTCTTCTTTTATACCCTTTCTTGCCAGCCACGCTGTGGAGTACTTGGACGCGTGTGATGGAGCATTGTCCTGCATGAAAATCATGTTTTTCTTGAAGGATGCAGACTTCTTCCTGTACCACTGCTTGAAGAAGGTGTCTTCCAGGAACTGGCAGTAGGACTGGGAGTTGAGCTTGACTCCATCCTCAACCCGAAAAGGCCCCACAAGCTCATCTTTGATGATACCAGCCCAAACCAGTACTCCACCTCCACCTTGCTGGCGTCTGAGTCGGACTGGAGCTCTCTGCCCTTTACCAATCCAGCCACGGGCCCATCCATCTGGCCCATCAAGACTCACTCTCATTTCATCAGTCCATAAAACCTTAGAAAAATCAGTCTTGAGATATTTCTTGGCCCAGTCTTGACGTTTCAGCTTGTGTGTCTTGTTCAGTGGTGGTCGTCTTTCAGCCTTTCTTACCTTGGCCATGTCTCTGAGTATTGCACACCTTGTGCTTTTGGGCACTCCAGTGATGTTGCAGCTCTGAAATATGGCCAAACTGGTGGCAAGTGGCATCGTGGCAGCTGCACGCTTGACTTTTCTCAGTTCATGGGCAGTTATTTTGCGCCTTGGTTTTTCCACACGCTTCTTGCGACCCTGTTGACTATTTTGAATGAAACGCTTGATTGTTCGATGATCACGCTTCAGAAGCTTTGCAATTTTAAGAGTGCTGCATCCCTCTGCAAGATATCTCACTATTTTTGACTTTTCTGAGCCTGTCAAGTCCTTCTTTTGACCCATTTTGCCAAAGGAAAGGAAGTTGCCTAATAATTATGCACACCTGATATAGGGTGTTGATGTTATTAGACCACACCCCTTCTCATTACAGAGATGCACATCACCTAATATGTTTAATTGGTAGTTGTAGCGCTATTTCACTTCCAGGGGCCGCCGCTGTCCTTCTTCAAGCCGACGTCGATAGCAGAAGGGCAGTGACCGCGAGAAGCGGTCACGTGTCCCGCCTGAATCTAAGAGCGCGCCGCGAGTCTCGGGCGCGCTCTTAAATAGACAGTGGGAGCCTAAATTGTCAAAAGGCTCCCATTGGCCCCTGTCATACCACACTCCCCATACACTTACCTTTTGGGTGTGTGGATATGACAGGAGCCAATCACATTAGTTTTGAAGCTATTTAAACTTACCTCTCCCTTTACTCCCTGCCCTATCGTGGTTTCTGTATCAGTTCCCTTTAGCGCTTGTTGTGTTCAGTTGTGTTTCTCCGTATTGACCTTGGCTTTGTTTTTGACTACGTTTTCTCTTTATCCTTATCTGTTCTGGTTGTCGGCTTGTTGTTTACTGTGTACCAGACCCCGGCTTGTCCTAGTTTACGCTGTCTTTCTGTGCCCTTGATTTCGGATTGTTCCTGACTCTGTCTCCTCTCATATACGTCGAGTCCGGCCATTCTAAGGTCCGGTAGACGTATCTCTCCTCTGTGTTGTCTTTTGTTTAGCTGAATCCTGCGTGTTGGGGTATATTCTCGCTACATTACGATAGGGCCATGGACCCCGCAGATTTGGCTCAGCAAATGGCTTCTCACGAGGCAAGGTTTGTAGAGCAGGATCACTGTATGGATCAGATAGCACAGGCTCTCCAGACGCTCTTGTCTAGAACCATTCCTGCAACCGCACCTAACCCTCCTACACCTCATCCTCCCCAAGTATCCAATTCAACCAATGCTTCGCCCCATTTAACACCTCCTCCTAGGTATGGAGGGGAAGCCAAGACATGCAGAGGTTTTATTAATCAAATAGAATTCCACCTTGAGATGTATCCTCATTCCTTTCCCACTGATAGGTCTAAAGTGGGGTTTTTGATGCATCAACTTACTGACAAAGCACTAGAGTGGGTAAATCCTATTTGGGAGGCCAATGGACCTATGGTTCATGATTTCAATAGTTTTCTTGCGGCTTTTCGTAGAACTTTTGACACAACAAAGAGGTCAAAGAATGCCGCAAGAGCATTAATGAGGATTAAACAGGGGTCTAGGGCTGTGGCGGATTATGCTATTCAGTTTCGTACCCTTGCTTCACAGGTAGATTGGACCAATAATGGGTTAACTACTGCGTTCATGGAAGGTTTATCTGACACTATATTAGATGAGGTAGCGGCAAGGGAGCTTCCTATTCATTTAGAGGATCTTATTGACTACCTCATTGATATAGATAATAGAATTCGT